CTCAGGCAGCTCCTGCTCCCAAATGCCAGGTACCTTGGTAAAGCCAGGCCTGCTTCTGCTCTCTGACCCTGGAAAAACCACCTTTGTTCAATGCCCTTTCTTCTATTAGAGCAACACCAAAATACTGTCAGGAGTCTTTTTAGAAAAATTATGGTATTTTACCATAAAGAGTAACGTTTACATAGGTAAAGACTGGGTTAAAACCTAAGAGTGCAAACACAGGAGACACTGAGCCAGCTTATGACTTGGGACATTACTGACCTGGTCTTTTAGTGTCCATCTCCCATTTCTGTTCCTGAAGGTCAGTTGTTCCCTGGTATGAAACCTAAGAACTCAACTTACTTCACCTCACGTTGAGTTTCTATCCTGAAGTATTCTGAAATTCTCACAAGTCTTACCCAAATTGTCTTCCTTATGTAAGTTTCTCTTTGCTCTTTATTTCTTAAACCTGAATTTCATCCTCTGCCAAACAGAATTCCACTAGTACTCTTCAAAGAGTCAGTTATTTACTCACCAATTCAACTGACGTTTTTTGGGCATTCACTGTATACTTATTTATTCAGTATATATTTAGGTATTTATTGAGAAACTAAAGCCTACTACATGTCAGAAATAAACTAGGCATTAAGGAACCAATGGTGGGCAAAATAAAGACAGACTCTGCACTCTCAGCACTAAAGCCTAATGCAAGAAAGCAATGCTGATCCAATGATCATACAAATAAATACAAAATTACAACTGAGGTAAGAACTAAGAAGTAGAGGTACTTGGTGTAGTCAGGAGGAGGATTTGGTATAGTCTGGAGGTCAGGAAAATCTTTCCTAGGGAAGTAATGACTGAGCTAAGATGAGAAAAAAGAGTAGTTTTCTAGGGGGAGGAAATTTCATTTTGATAGGATGGAGTGCTGCATATTCCATAAACTTAAGGAAAACCCATGGGACTCAAGAACTGGGAGAAAAAAAGGAACCATGGTGTCAACTAAGGCTGGAGAACTAAGCAGGAGCCATCAATGTGGAGGCCGTTTACCTTAGGTCAGTATTCTAAGGTTCATGGAAAACTTAGTTTTATGCAGATAGCTGCGATGATCAGAATTGAACCTTGGAATGAACACTAACTGCAGTGTCAAGAGTGTATTTAGAAATGATATGAGGAGGTAAAAGGAGTTCAGTTAGGGACCATTGTAGTAGGAGAGATACTGGTGGTTCGATAGAGGGCTGGGGTATGAAGTGGAGAAAAGGGAATGAGAGGTTTCCAGGAGATTGATGATAAGGCTTGATGATAGCAGTTTAATACTCAGAAGCACTGAATGAGGGGATAGGACATGACCAGTGGGTGTAGAGTGACTCTATACTAGAGACTGCAATGTGCTGTTTTAGTTCAGTTGTATAAGCTAGGATAAAATGTTGGTGACGTTAACTAGTAATAGTATTAACTTCTACAAAGTAACCATGGAAAAAAGAAGTCTTCGTGACTTTCCTGAAACTAAAATTGTGTATGAGCATTTCTTCCTAGAAACATTTATGTTTTTCTTTGTTTTTAATGTTGTCTCTTTATGATACAAATAATATAGATTAAGAACTATACAAGATGAAAAGAAAAAGTACTCCTCTACATTCCTAAACACCCTTGAACCATTTATCACAGGTAAATGATAAGGTTGCTAAGTTCTGGAAGCCTTCAAAACATTACCATGTGTTACACACACACACACACACACACACAAACACGATGTGTGTATATAAACTTTTTTTCGTGCTAACAAGATCATATTATGTGCACTAACCAACATATTTTAAAGATTAAACTTAAACATTTCCATATTAGTACTCACAGATCTACTTCATTTCTTTAAACAGTTGGAAAGTGTTCCATTATATGATATGTCTTAATCATTAACTTATTGATCACTTGAACTTATTAAGTACTTTTGAGTTGTCTTTCTATTTAAAATAATTCTGCATGGAACATCTTTTTTTATATAACCATTTATATTCTTACATGGGATAACTTTCTAAAAGTGAGGTTGCTGGGCCAAAGAGAAAACAAATAAATAGGTAGATACAGATATCTAGATAGATTTACATTTGATGAATACTCCCAGTTTATCTTCTGGAAAATTTGTACCTTTTCACATTCTCACCACCAATTTTAGAGAATGTTTCCTCACATTTTTGACAATACTGAGTATTATTAACATTTTTAAACTTTGAAAATCTGAACGATAAAAATGCTGTTTGTTCTTTTACATTTTATTTATTTACCAATTCTGCCTGGCAATAAATTTCTCATTGCGAAAGTGAGCGTCTAAAATTTATTTTTTTAATTCTAAACACAAATCATTAAGTGGGCACAATTTTTTTAAATAGTAAGGTTCTGAATCTGTACAAACCTAGACCATGATAACCTCTCTATTATCTGGCTTCCCTAAGAAACATCTTTTAAAGTTCCTTGCTTACAGGAAAGGAATAGGAAGCACATACTAATTTTTTAGGGCTGCCATAATAAAGTACCACAGACTGAGTGGTTTAAACAACGGACATTTATTTTCTGACGGTTCTGGAAGCTGGAAGTCTGAGATCAGGTTGCCTGTAGGGTTTGGTTTCTTCCAAGGCTGCTCTCCTTGTTGCAGACAGCCATCTTCTCTCCATGTCCTTACATAATCTTCCCTCTGTGTTTGCATCCCGGTGCGTCTTTCTCTCCCTATAAGAACACCAGTCATATTGGATTAGGGCCCCACTTTAGTCACTTCATTTTAACTTAGTCACTTCTCTAAAGACCTTCTCTCAAAATACAGTTACATTCTGAGGTATTGAGGGTTGGGACTTCACCATGTGGATTTTAAGGGGACACAATTCAGCCCATAACAGGAAGCACCTGACAATGTATTAAAGTATTAGAATTTTATTTCTCACATCCCCCACCCTCAAAGAAAAAAAACTGCTTTAAAGTGCTATGTTAAATGAAAAAATTTAGACAAACTGAATTTAACAGAGTTTGAGCAAAGAATGATTCGTGAATTAGGCAGTACTCAGAACCAGGAGCGGTTCAGAAAACTCTGTCCAAAAATGGGGGTAGGCAGTATTTACAGACAGAAAAAGGAAGTACCCTTCAGAAACAGCTTGATTGGTTAAAGCTCATCATTTGCATTTGCCTTATTAGGGTGCGGTGTGTTGAGATATTTGCCTTATATGGATGTGGTCTGATCAGTTGGCAGCCTGTGATTGGCTGGAGCACACCTACTATGACTGGCTGAGACTCAATTGCTTGTTATCAGAATATACTCTTAAGTTGCAGTCTGTTAACATACTAAGTCAGGTTGTTGTTAGCCATTTAGAAATTCAAAGTAGGAAGGCAGCCTCAGGCCACATTTCATTTAATTTAACAGCTGAAAATATATTTTGGTAAAGTTCTAAAGAGAAACAGTAATAATATAGCATTATGTTAGTTTAAGAGAAAAGAGTAAAACTGAGGGGCCAGCCAGTATTGTCAAGTGTGTGTTGAAGTCAAGGCCATAAGGACGGACTCTGGATTTAGGAAGAAGTCCACTGGTGACCCCAGAAGGAAACAAAGTGGTAGAAGCAGAGGCTGACTTGGCCAAGGCTGACTCTCATCCTTGGCACAGCAGAGAGTGACTGCAGGAAAGAAATGATGTGTGTATAGAGAGAGGTAAGAAAGGGAGTTTAACCAAAGCGTATTTTTAGTCCAGGAAAGAAATCAGGAAAAGAAAAAAAATAAAAATACAAAACGGAGGGGAAGCTGAACAGCAAGGTCCTGGAGATGTCACCTATTTTATAAAGAGAATGGGCTAGAAAGTCAGGTGAAGAGGCCGGCCCTGACAAGCGAGAGGGACATCTCTACCCCTGAGAAAGAAGAGAGAATATGGAGAAAAGAGTCTGCTACCTGTCAAAATTCAATGAGGATGTTTGTGGAGAATAACTGCTGCTTTTAAATAATACTTACAAAAAGACAGCCATGTACCTATTAAAAAAAAAATCTGATAACGTTACAAACAGTCCGATGATTTACATGTATAACCAGTAAAGGGAGCTGGAGGAAAAGAGAAAAGCTCATTCTTCACAATCGTTCTCAAGTCATAAACTCGCCTTTCAAACCCTTCCTGTATCTTAATACTGCACGTGCTGTGCAAAGCTGTGCAAAAACGAATTCATGGCAAATCTCTTGCTACACTTCCACCTTGATTTTCGCCTTCCAACCCCGGCTAGGTAGAAATTCAAGCAGCAGCCACTCTACAGCTTTAGCTTAATTCCTTCGGCCATGCCTGGACGTGTCTGTCTTAGTGATGTGACAGGCACATTTCCTTCCCAGCAATAGTATCACTTAGCAAGATTCCTGTGACACTCCCAGAGCAAAACGTCAGTTCTCGCCCCTCCTAGTGGAGCACCCCGGATCCCCACGCATCTCCCCGGCAGCAGTGCACGCCCCGGTGCTCACCACCAGGGGGCAGCCGCTCCGCGCAGCAGCTCGCGCGGTGGAGGTGACGCGGGGCCGCGAGCTCTGGGGTTCCGCCCCCCAGGATCGGAGCGAAAGGAGCCCGATCCACACGGGGCCTTCGCCCTGGGTGATGTTGTTTTGGGGGATTGTTCGCCTCGAATATGATTTATTGGCGAATATGATTTATTGGAGACTTGGAGTTTGCTCTTCTCACCACGTGCGACAGCAGCCTTGCAGAGCTTCCTCTCGGATCTAAGAACACCCGGAGGGTCTAGGGGAGCGGGTTTGGGCCCCAGACCGCTGCAGGGCAAGGGGTCCCTCCATCCCCCACACTGGGAGGGTGGGACCGCTCACCTGGGAGGCGCCGGGAGAGCCAGACGCACCGCCCCGGAAGGGGACGGCCGGGGAGGCAGAAGTGGCCGCGCCACACTCCGGCCCCGCCCCCGCGATGGCCCCGCCTCCGACTCCGCCCCTCCCCGCAACGGCCCCGCCTCGGATACGCCCAGGCCGTGACACAGCCCGGCCTCTGCGCCTGCGGACCGCATAGCTGCTCCTCGCAGATGGCAGATGGCAGAGCCAGTCTTTCAGGGCTGCCGACCGCCAAGTCGTGAGTTTTCCAATCCGAGCGCGTCCTGGGGTGGGGGCGGGTGGCCAAGCACCAGGGGGACACCGGGGGACACCTGAGGTGCCAGAGGCATGCAGGGGCGCCACTCCCGGCAGTCGCGGTGTCCATTCCCTTCTTAGATCGAGGGTATTTGTTTCACTTCGCGTGTTTTAGTCTGATGCTATTCACTGTTGGAAAACATATTTCTCTCCCCCTTTGAACTTGGGAGTCCCGAATGTGACAAAGATGTGTGGCGGGTGTGTTCACTCGCGCACGAGCGACCACATTTGGTTACGCAGCGGTGGGGACAGCGTCCTGGGATATATTACTCATCTGGGTTTTTTTGTTTATTTTTGCTTTTCCTGCCAAACTAGGGAGGCCCCGTAAGTGAAAGACTCCACTTGTTTTCTGATAGGTAGTTAGCGCGAACTCAGGCTTCGTGCTTTCTCGACGCTGCCTTTTTCCACTCCCAACCCCTGAATCTGAGCTCACCGGCTGCAGGCCGAGTGCTCCGTGGGTATTGGCTGTCTTGGGCATTCACCTTCCTGGGAGCAGTATTAAGAAAAAAGTGGTAGATGGGAAGGGAAGGGGGAGAGGAGAAGGAATTCCACAGGAAATACAGGGCATGCTCAGGGATGAGAAGTCTACTAGAGATTTTATGGAAGAAAGTAGCAGGAAAAAGTCCCTCAGCAAATTTTACCGTATGGGAAGTGGCTGAAATACGAGAGTTCTTAGCAGAGTTCGTATTGAGGAAGGTTGTAGATGAGAATACAGCTGGGGACTAAAACCAGATTGGCACAGTCTAGACATGATTTCTAACTAAAGGGACTGATGTTTGAGAGAGATAGTCAGAGATTAACAAAATGCGGTGGCTGAGGAACTATGCATAGAAACTGGGAGGGGGAGGGAGGCAGGCGGCTGTGGCTCAAGGGATTGGAATCTGTCTCAGTTTAGATTCTTCCCCAAAGCAAAGCCTGATGCAAGGACTTGTCTGCAGGTAGGTTTTTGGGAAGTGAGCCCAGAAAAGCTGGAACGAGGAAGTGGGGAGAGGAGACAAGGAAGGAGGGAAAGCCACAAAGGGCATGTGGCTGAGCTGTCTACAGCCCACTGGTGTGCCTGGAGCTTAGTTCCTCTGTAACAGGCAGAATGGCCTGGAAAAGGGTAAAAATGTTTTCTGTCTCTCTAAACTTTCCCTACTCCTGGAAATTAAAACCTGCAGGCCAGTAGTCTAGAGGGGCAAGGGAATGTCCTTTGTTCTTTGTAACACAGGAGTTGGCTCAGGGAATTGTCCTGGGGAGGTCACAAGATTGTCTTAGCCAAAGATGGGACAAATCAGAACCATCCACTTTAGTTGAACAGCAATAACCTAAAGCTGAAACCCTCCCCTTTAAAAGCTCTGAATTTCTGCTCAGAGGCAGGATGTTGGTACTTTAAGATGGGAGTCTGCCAACCTCCTCACTGGCTGGCAAATTAATAAACATCTCTTTCCTTCTCCTCAAACCACTTGTCCTTGTTCTTCTTATGCGGCCTCAGGGACAAGTGTGGAACTTTCAGGAAAACTTCCAGGGACTCTCTGAGGAATGGGTAGAATGGGCCTCAGGACAGCCACTAGGCATTTTTCCATGACTCCTTCCTCCACTGGGTGAAGCTCACCCAGGACATCAACTCACTGCCACTTCAGGGCTGCCTTGTGCACCTGTGGAGGTGAGAAGGCATCCAAGTGCACAGGAAGTACCCCACAGTGGGCTCCTCACGGGGCACCCGGAGTACCTGCTACACTGCCCTTGTCACTTGGGCAGCAAAGGAACGGACATTAGTGTTAACCAGTGCTCACTGTGTGTGCCAACTGTGGACAAGGCAATTTTATATGTACTCCTTTAATCTTCAGAAACAATCATCCAAGAACTGTATTATTTTCTTTCTATAGATGGGAAAACCAAGGCTTAAGTAATTTATCCAAGAGGAGCTGCTTTGAAGGGAGTGATGAGCTCAGTTTTAGGCACATCGAATTTTAGAAGACCTGGAAACTGCAGGATGCTACCCAAATAGAGGTGGGGCTTTCCCCATTAGGGCAGACTTGATAAAGTGGGAGGCATTCCCAACTCATGTAGTCGAAATGCAGTTTCTGACAGGTCATGTGACCTTTTTGTCCAAAGCAATCAACACTAAGTCAACTCATGCACTTAAGTCAACTTAAGTCTCACCTTGATCTACCAAGCCCTGCAGGATCTAGCCTTTCCCTCACTCCACGACAGGTGCTGTTCCTCCCAACGTCTTGCTCTAAGCCACCCTGGCCCTTCTCTTTGCTGTAAAGTGCTTTTACCTCCAGCATTTCAGGTTTCAGTTTCAATGTTACTTTCTTATAAAGGCCTTTCCTGTCACTCAACCTGAAATAGTTTTCCAGTCTATATCACATGCCATGTTTTATTTTCCTCACAGTGATTAATTGTTGCATTTTATTTATGTTTATTTATTCGTTGTCCTTCTCCTAAAATATTCAAATCATGAAAGCAGAAACCTTGTTTGTTTTGTTCTTTGCTGTACACCTGGTGCTAGAACAGAGCAGTGCTTGGCCCACGGTGAGGAACCCAATAAAATTTGGGGGCTGAATGCATTTAGTTGATTTTTTTCACTCATTCATTCATCTGTTCTGACCAACCCGAGTCTTTACTTTCCCCTGCAGCAGCTGATAGAACCATGGAGACAACCCCTGATGCTGCTTTCAAGTCCCTTATGGATGGAGTGACAAGCTGGGATGTCCCCACAAGCCCCATCCCCAGCGAGCTCCTTCTTATTGGAGAGGCTGCCTTCCCAGTGATGGTGAATGACAAGGGCCAGGTGCTCATTGCTGCCTCCTCCTATGGCCGAGGCCGCCTGGTGGTCATGTCCCATGAGGGCTACCTGCTGCATGCTGGCCTGGCTCCATTTCTTCTCAATGCAGTGGGCTGGCTCCGCCCCTCCCCTGGGGCTCCCGTTGGAGTGCACCCATTCCTGGTGCCACTAGCGAACATCCTGCAGGACTTTGGGGTTGAGGCACAGGTTGGGCCAGAACCAGGAGAGCCCCTAGGGGTTTATTGCACCAGTGCCTACGATGATACCATGACTGCGAAGCTGATCCAGTTTGTGAAACATGGAGGGGGCTTGCTCATTGGGGGCCAAGCCTGGTATTGGGCCAGCCAGCATGGCCGTGACAAGGTGCTGTCCATGTTCCCTGGGAACCAGGTGACCAGTGTGGCTGGAGTGTACTTCACCGACATCTATGGAGACAGAGGCCGGTTCAAGGTCTCTAAGAAAGTGCCCAAGATCCCACTCCATGTCAGGTGAGTCTCTGTTTCCGCCCCTTTAACACACTTCCATTTCAGTACAGGCGTTTTCCACTTAGTTCTGAAACTATCATAAATCAAAAGCAGGATAATTAAAATGCACCCAGAAACAAGAGGAGCTGGGTTCTCACTACCACTTCCTCCTATGGCCAAAGCAATAATCAGCTGAATAGAAAAGTTTATCTCATTCATCACTCTGTCTCCATGTCTAGTTCCTGGAACACAGAGAATGCTTATCGATGTCTCCTAAATAAACGAAGGAACATTTGTTTGTGTGAGCAGCTGGACACTGGGTTCTAGGAGAGGTCAGAGCAAATAAGTCATGCTGTCATGAGGCTTACATGCCAGGCAAGAATTAGGCCATTAAGGAAACTAATATCTACATATGTTATCAGGCATTGATAAGAACCCAAGGGAAAATAAGGCAGAAATGGGATTGCATGAGGACAGGGAGGGGCAGGGAGGCTATTTTATTTAAGGTCTTCAGGGAAGTCCTATCCATCAGACCAAGTTGGATTTGTCAGGATTTTTTGATGTTTCAAACACAAGGGGTTTAGTAGAGAGAATTGACCATACAGGTGATGGAAAAGCTGAGAACCCACACAGGGAACAGCAAGTAACTGAGAGATTAGCATCAGCAGGACCAACAGAGAGAGGTGTTCCTGGAACCCAGGTGCTGCGGCCACCGGGTCGAGGCTGGAGCCATGCTAGGCCTGTCCAAGAGAAGCTGGAAACACAGGTGGGAGGTCCGTCTGGTGGGAGCTGTAGTCACAGGGAGGACACCGTGGTTACCAGAGACACAGCCGGGAGAGAGAAGCACATACCTTGGCTCCTTTGTCCTTCCTCCCTGACTTCAGTCTTCTACCTCTGCCTCACATGGGCTGACCCCACCAGGATCCAAGGGGGAGGGGAGCCTGGGAAATGTAGTTCCCTGTAACAGAAAGGATGACCAAGAAGAATGGCAATGGAGTGAGTGAAAACAAGCAACTGACCAGCTTAGAAGGTTTCTCTGGTAGGTGGCATTTGAAAGACCTGAAGGAAGTGAGGGGACGAACCATGTGTACATTTGTCAGAGGAGGATTCCAGGCAGGGTGAGGAGCAAGGGTGAAAACCTGAATAGAAGCCCACTTGCTAAGATCCAGGAGCGCCAAGGTAGCCAGAGTGGTGGGAGCTGAGTGAATGAGAGCTGAGATCATCTGCACTCAGGGGTAGAACTTGAGATCTGCGCATAATGAGATGGGAAGGCATTTTGGATTTTGTACAGAGAATTGATTTGATGTGACTCATACAAGCAGCCCTCGGATTGATGGAAGAGAATAGACTATAGGAGGCATAGGTTGAAGCAGAAGACCAATCAGGAGGTCACTGAAATAAACCACGTGAGAGGCAATGTCGACCCAGATGAGGGTGGTAGCAATGTAGCTACAGAGAAGAGGTTTGATTCTGGACACACTTCAAAGATAGGACACAACAGGCGTGGCTGATGGCCTGAGTACGGAGCAAGAGGAAGAAAGAGGAGTTGAGATTTTTGGTCTGGTCTGAATTATTTAAAGAAAGGTGTCACAATTGAGCTGTGAAAGACTACGAGAAGATGAATTAGAGGAGATCAGTAATTTAATTTTGGATATTTTGATTTTAAGATATTAGTGACTAATTGTGTTTGGCCACATGTAGCAGAAGTCTTACTACAGTGGATAACCATGTAGGAATTTATTTTTCTCATGTAACATGAAGGCCAGATAGATAGTCCAGACCTGTGACAGGGACTCCAAGATGTCCCATGGTCATTCTGTCTGTTTCCCCTTTGTCCCATCACCCCTTCCCCCATCAAGTTGTGTTGCATTTATCCTTATGGCTACAAGATAGCCACTACTACTTCAGGTACTATAGTTACATCCAGACAATAATAAACTGGAATGGATATACCTGCTGAGTCTATCCCTTTTAATTTAGAAAATCATATATTTTCTGGAAGTCCTAACCATTAGACTTATGTTTATATTTTAGTGGCCAAGCCTAGATCACATGGCCAACTCTAGCTGCCAGGGAGTCTAAGGGGCTGGACATTTTTAAATGGGCCCTGGCTTCTCTGAAGAAATCAAGATTCTGCTGCAAGGAAGAAGGAGCATGCAGATGCTAGTGAGCAGTTAGCAGTGCCTTGGGCCCTCAGCCCCAAGCCCTGGCCCCTGTGGAAGTCCTTTCCTTCTGAGAGGGTAAGGGAGATGATGTGGTTGCTCAAAGACACTAGGGTGGATCTGTTTTGCTTTGACTTCTTTTTGGCTCTAATACAAGGAAGAAACAAGTTAAATCACATCAATTGCCCCAAGGGATCCTCCTCTTCAGCAAACTAAACATGATTTTCTTCATCTACACCTACATTTTTCATCTCTGCCACTGAATCTAAGGCATATTTGTGTGTGTGTGTGTGTGTGTGTGTGTGTGTGTGTGTTTAATTATGTAAAACTTTAAACATAGGCAAAAGCAGATAGAGTAGTACAATGAACCCCCATGCAGCCACTACCCAACCCAATTATAGCTGACTCCTGGTCTATCTTATCTCATTGATGGCCCCGCCCCTCCCCATCCAAGATTATTTCAAAGCAAATAGCAGTCACCATATTATGTCATCTGTAAGAGTTTAAATATATATCTCTAAAGGTATGGACTCTTTTGAAACCATAACCACACGTCCCCATTATCACACCTAAAAGAATAATTCCTCAATGTTATCATTTCTATGATTGTCTTATATTATTTTTCAGAATTTGTGGGCTTAGTATATAAAGCTCAGATATTTTAATTTCTTGATAATGTTAGGTCTGGAGCCAAGAGGGAGACACATGAAGCCTCATGTGTAGCAAAATGCTGTTTGTTTGAGCATCTGGGTGCAGATGGGTGGAGGCCGAAAAAAGTGTCCACATTGAGGGAGGGAGAGCCTTGAGTTTTATAGAGGGTTTTTCCAGGGGGAGTGAGCAACCAGGCCAGAATAGCCACTGTAATAAATTCTTTTTGAACAACTGGGAGGGATAAGAAAAGTAAGTTCCCCTCTTGCGTTCCATTCCTTTATCTCCCTAGGGGTCTGGCAAAGGCTATGTGCCTAATACACACCTAGGAAGGGGAGAGGGGTGCGTTTATAGGAGTTTGAATGGAAGTTAGGGGAGGACGAATTCTCCAAGCCTAACAGTAACAACCAGGGACAGTGTGCTGATGGGGAGACATCCTTGAAGCAGTGACAGTACATAGTGGCACATGACCTTCATATCCAGTGAATACATGTCTTCTGTTGATATTGGAAGGAGTCCAGTTAAGTTTCCAACTTTCCTTAAGCATTTCCTTGACCTTTCATGGCAGGGAGCCAACCAATACTTTCTCAACTACGGCATCATTTTAATGACTCCAATCTCTTAATGGAATTCATCATCTTTCTTCTCAGCCATGATGGCATGTTTAAGCAATGATTGTCTCTTGTGGTGAAGAAATATCTTCTTTAAGCACTTCTCAGATTTATTTTATCTTCTTGTTCACCTGAAAATTCAAGCAAAATTAAATGTGAAGATTTTTTATTAAAAAAATAGAAATGCCTCATGGTCCCCTTTTTACATAATTCCTTCCTCTCTATTTATCTATCTATGTAGCTGGCAAGCTGTCTTTTTATCTATATCTAGATATGTCTGGTTATTACTCAGGAATGATACTTTGAGTTTTTTTAAACTTTTTTCTATGTGCTTATTTATATTGCTTGAATAATGAATAATCCACATTTATCGTTTTTATAAAACACTGATCTTTACTTTCCATTCTTTTGCCCTAGAGTTACAGTAGTACTCAAATTAAAAACAGAAATTCTGGCCCTCTTCTATTTTATATTTTATGTTTAAGCTAGTTTAATCTAAATTTTACTTTTTCTGATGGTCCTTATCTGATAAACCATACTTCTTTTTAAGATCTATAATCATACATTATACTTCTATTTTCTCTGAAACTTTCAAAGTTAGTCACCTTAAAAGCTAAAATAGATGTGCAAATATAAATGAACACATTTTAAAAGTGCCTACCACGTGCCAGTTTTGTGCTACACGTGCTTTCCCATGTACAAGTTGAGCGTCTCCAGTCCAAAAATCCAAAACCTAAAATGTTCCCAAATCCAAAATATTTTGAACATTGACACAATGCCACAAGTGGAAAATTCCACAACTGACACCTTTGCTTTCTGATTGTTCAGTATATGCAAACCTTGTTTCATGCACAAAATTATTTTAAAAAATTGTATAAAATTACCTTGGGCTATGTGTATAAGGTATATATGAAACATAAATGAATTTCGTGTTTAGACTTAGGTCCCATCCCCAAGATATCTCATTACATATATGCAAATATTCCAAAACCCCAAAAAATCTAAAATCCAAAGCACTTCTGATCCCAAGCATTTTGGATAAGGGATACTCAGTCTGTATTATCTCCTTTAACCCTAACAATAATCTTCTGAGATTGGGAATATAGTCTATAAAACTAAGAGAAATAGTAAACACTAGGACGTGTTAGGAATGTTTATATTATAAACAGAATTTAGATTTGACCTAGAAATATGAATATATCTGTGCCCACAAGTGCGTGCCATCTGTATTCTGACTATCCAAAATGAGTAATTTATGTAGCTGCAATTTGTTACAAAAGCGAGTTTTCCAAATTATTTTTTTTAATCTTATGGGTTAAATGGGTCAATTAAAATTGTGTTTTTAATAGGCCTAATGAGATTTTTATCCTGTGCCTACTAGCTTAAAATAAGAGAAAAAACAGCTTTTTATGTTTACAATTTCAAGGTGCCTTTCTGATAGTCTATACCCTTATTGCTCAGTGATGATTAACACAGTTTTTTAGGTTTTGTTATTTACTATAGTTTATCTATACTTAAAGGAAAAAATACAGAAAAGATATACAAAGTCATGGGGGGGGTGCCTTCAAAATGTTTTTTAAAACATCTGATTAATATAGTTCCCCCTAGTATTTTTTTGATGTTATGAATCCCAAGAAAACATTGTCCCTATTTTCCAGTGTTTCTGTCCTGTGTATATTTATCAGAGTGAATTAAATCCAAAAAAGTATTCTTTTATCCTATACAATCTGAGCAGAAAAAACAAAAGCTAAGTGAAGATATATTTGATTTCTACCAGGAGACATCATTACCTTTATGTTCAAGTAAAAATTGGTTGGTGTTTGGATAGAGAGGTAAAAAAATAAAAAAAGTTTAAATTGTTAGATGTTTTACTTTTAGTATGGTGTAAATGACAGCAGCTTAGTTCACATTTAACTTTCTAATCATTGCTGTGGCTTCCTACTATGGAAGTTTTTTTCTTGGCATTCAGAAACCTATCACCCATGTCACCTCTCTGCTCAGGTGTGATTTGTATGTTTTCTGAACTCCCTTTCCTTTCTTCCGCAGTGGTTTCCCATGCACTTCCAGCTCTAAAGTAACACATGCTTTTCCTTTTCATAAATGCGGTATTTTTCGCACCTTCACGTCTGTTTAAAGCCTCCCTTGCATGAGATATACCTGTCGATTGCTCTATGCCCAGCTGTGGGCTTCATCCAAAGACAGCAATTGAGTGAGAGATTTCTGGTCTGTAGACAACAACAGTGGCTATGGTGGCAAACCAGCCTGGGTCTGCTTCCTGTCCCTGGCAGTTATTAGCTAAGCAGTTTGCCCCATGCCTAACTTTTCTAAACTTCATCTATAAAGTGAGAATAACAACTTTCAGGTTTATTATGATTAAAAGAGGTAATACATATGTATAAATGCCTGGCATACATTAAAACTCATTAAATAATGGCTACTTTCATTATGTTATTATCCAGACTGAAACATTGTAAATAGATATTACACAAGATTTAAATATTGATAACTAGCTATCTGAGATCATTAATAATGAATGTCTTATTGTCAAATCATCTGTTGAGATTTACCTAGTATCCCAACTGCTGTGCTAACTCACTTCTCTCTCTGTTCCTCCCTCCCTCCCTTCCTTCCTTTCTTCATTCATTTCTTGATAAACATCTTTTTATAAAAATATTTCAAAAAGGAATCAAGCTTATGTGGAAAAAATGCAAACAATACAGAAATTTCTAGAGGAAAATGGCAACCTGTCTCTCTTCCGACACCACCATCTCTAATCTCAGGCCTCTGGAACAAGGTAGCCAATCTTAAATGTTTCATGTGGATCATCTTAGATGCTTATCTATGTGTGTGTGTTCTGCAAATTGATTTTTTATCTAATGTATCACGTTTGAGAATGTCTGCCTTTTACCTTTATATTGATACAGCAACTTGGCAAATATAACATTCTAGGGTCTCACTTTTTTGTCCCCTAGGACAGCAGTCCTCAGCCTTTTTGGCACCAGGGACCAGTTTCATGGAAGACAATTTTTCCATGGACAGGGGCTGGGAGGGATGATTTCAGGATGATTCAAGTGCATTACATTTATTGTGCACTTTATTTCTATTATTATTACATTGTAATATATAACGGAAGCAACTCACCATAATGCAGAATCTAATGTCACTGCTGATCTGATAGGAGGTGGAGCTTAGGTGGTGATGTGAGCGATGGGGAGCAGCTGTAAATGCAGGTGAAGCTTTGCTTGCTTGCCTGCCGCTCGCCTCCTGCTGTGTGGCCCGGTTCCTAACATGCTACAGGTGGGTCAGTGCTGGTCCACAGCCCAGGGGTTGGGGGAAGCAGCTTTAAGAGATATTGTACAATTGTCTTCCAGCTCTAATCAAGCTTATAAGTCATTCTCAAATCATCTCTATCCTTAATTTTTTTTAATGAAATTGATCCACTGGGTGCTGAGAGATGCATTACAATCTCCAAATGCAATTATCAACTCGTCAAATCTTAATTTTCTCTGTAGCAGTTGTTGCTTTACGGTCTGTGTTTCTCAGGCCGTAAAAATTAATGAAAATTATATCTTTGGTAACAATGTAACTTTTATCCGTAGAAAATATTTATCTTTATTTTAATTTTTTCCTCTTCTAAATCAATTGAATCTCTTATTAATGCTGGCATATCTGGTTTTTTTGTTTTCATATTTTTGAGATAAAGTTTTGTTGATTTATTAATTTTCAATCTTGTGTCATTTAGTTTCAAATATGTCTTTTATAAGCAGCTTATATCTACTTGTTTGTAACCTAATCTAAAAGCATCTGCCTTTTCATATAGAAATTTAATCCATTCATATGCACCATGGTGATTGGAATGTATTTCTTGCTCTTGCCCTCTTGTTTTCTTATTTTGGAGCCAGGATCTGCTTCTGAGGAGGGCCTCAGGTAGCTTCTGCTAATGGCAGAAGGCCCAGCGGAGCTCGGCTTGTGCAAATGACGCGGTGAGAGAGGAAGCAAGAGAGAGAGGGAGAAGGTGCCAGGCTCTTTTTAACAATCGGTTCTTGTATAATAGAAACTAACAGAACAAGAACTCACTGTATTACCACAAGGATGCCACAAAGCTATTCATGAGTGATCCACCCTCATGACCAAGACACCTTCCATTAGGCCCCATATCCAACACTGAGGATCAAATTTCAACGTGAGATTTGAAGGGGCCAAGCAAACCCTAGCAAAAGTTTTGGGTTTTTTTCCTCTTTAATTCCATATAGTTCCTGCAACTCCTACCAACCATCCCAGGCATTTCCTGGGTTTCCAGTGCTGCTATGGTTGTGTGTGTGTTTACATGTGTGTGTGTCCACATCGATGAATGCATTCAATCATTTTAATCAGATATGGAGAAGATATCTGCAGATAACTGTAATTCTCCATATTGAAGGTTTTCTGTCATGTGATTATAGAGGCTTAAAAAAAGAAACAAAAGGAAAAAAAATAAAAAAAGATTTTTCTGTCATTAGCTAAGACCTTGCCTGGTGCCTGTCAGAAGATGCTAGAAGAACAGGTAGAGTGGGAAGTTTTATTATTAAGTCTTATAGCTCAATGTCATTACCCCACCCCCCAAATAAGTCTTGAGTCTCAACGGGTAGAAAAAAGCCACAGGCAAAACTGATACCTGAACTCTGTGACATTTGCCATGTTACTTTGAAAATGAGATGACAAAACTAAGACATGACATTTCCTCATTTGTGCTGAAAAGAAATTAAGGAGAAACTATCTGTACAAAAGTTAGTTTTTCAATAATGTTTTTCTACCAGAATGAATAAACTATTTTTGTTTTAAAAAATAACATTTGAGTTTTTATCGTAAAAGAAATAGATGTTAACTTGAAAAATTGAGACAATAAAGATAATTAAAATGACGTATAAATCCTACTAGCCAAGATGATCACTGAAGATGTTTTGGTAAATATGCTTCAGATCCTGTTTCTACATCTGGTTTTGTGTTTTTTTATTTTACTTTTTCAAAATTTGGCTTATTTAGAGCACAATATCTTAGAATTTAATTTTAAAAGATTTCTATTTTTTCCAAATTTTCTAATAATTATTTTAATTACTATAGGGTATGCTAGCTACAGTTAACCATAACTAATTTAACCAATCTTGTATTTGACATTTGGAGTACCTACAAATTGGCTAAAAAACAGTTCTTGAAATACAAAATCTTTCCTGAATTTATTACATTTTTCCCATTTCTTAATAAAATGTAGTGAATACTCTCACCATTAGATTTAAGTAAGAATTTTTTTTAAATGATGTGTGTATACATCTACAAGTGTAGTGTCAAGCAATTTACTTGTGATGTGTTCATAGATCATAGCTACCCACGGAGAGTGCAAATTTGATGTTTTTACAGCCTTCTTTTGCAGAAGATTATCTCTGAGAAATCCATAAACAGCACTACTTTTTCTAAGCATGATAGAGTAGTTTTGCTAAGTTCATTTATATGTTTACTTATTTTAAAAGACAAGAAATTCAAATCAGAACATGCAACACTTAGTTAACTAAATGGGAAGAATTCCTAGAAGTGTTTATTTAGAAAACGTGGGCTTTAAGATATGTACATAAGGCCACTACCTCCCTCTACAGTGTTTCATCAAGTCTATGACAACATCGATTGTAAGAAATGCCATTATTTTCACTGCTAATTAATTAATGTGCCATCAGTTGTAAAAAGGTGGAAAAATGTGCCTTAAGCTCAATAAAATAAATAGTATTACATGCTAAAATCCTAAATGTCCTTAGTAAGAATGAGAAGATTGATGTGAATCATGTCATCTTTCTACGCACGTGTAGATTTCTCTACGCAATGAGCTCATGTCAGTGGCTCATTAACTGACTGACTGTAGCCTCCTTGTCCCTTGTGTCTCTTTTCCAGGTGTGGGGAGGATCTCAAGCAGGACCAGCAGCAGCTCCTGGAAGGCATCTCTGAGCTGGACATCAGGACAGGGGGCATCCCCTCGCAGCTGCTGGTGCACGGGGCCCTGGCCTTCCCCCTGGGGCTCGATGCCTCCCTCTGCTGCTTCCTGGCAGCTGCCCGCTATGGCCGCGGCCGGGTGGTCCTGGCTGCCCATGAAGGCATGCTCTGTGCCCCCAAGATGGGGCCCTTTTTGCTCAATGCTGTGCGCTGGCTGGCCAGAGGCCAGACAGGCAAAGTTGGGGTGGACCCAAGTCTGAAAAATCTGTGTTCCCTACTGTCGGAGCATGGCCTGCAGTGTAGCCTGGAGCCCCATCTGACCAGCGACTCCTGTGTCTACTGCTGCAAGGTTTACAGCGACAAGGAGGCTAAGGAGCTGCAGGAGTTTGTGGCTGAGGGTGGGGGGCTGCTGATTGGGGGCCAGGCCTGGTGGTGGGCCTCCCAGAACCCAGGCCGCTCTGCCTTGGCTAGTTTCCCTGGTAACATCATCCTCAACTGCTTTGGCCTCAGCATCCTGCCTCGGACCCTCAGCCCAGGCTGTTTCCCTGTTCCCACCCCTGAGATGAGGAGCTACCACTTCCGCAAGGCACTGTCTGAATTCCAGGCTAAACTGAACCACGGGAGTGGGAACTTGGAAAAGAGCTGTCTGGCACAGCTGGGAGTAGATGGTGCAGCCTTCCTGCAGATTCCTGCAGAGGGCGTCCCTGCTTATGTGTCGTTGCACCGGCTCCTGAGGAAGATGCTGCGGCGGTCAGGCCTCCCAGCTGTGAGCCGGGAAAACCCAGTGGCCAGTGACTCCTGTGAGGCCACAGTGCTCTGCCTGGCCACGGAGCTGGCGCACTCTGGAACTGACTGCTCCCAGCTGGCCCAGGGCCTTGGCACCTCGACCTGCTCCTCCAGTGTGTACCCCTCGGAACACCCCATCACCGTGGAGATCAATGCAACCAACCCAGGTATGGAACCAGCAGAGAGTGTCCAGAGCCTTGAAGACCTGGGGGAGTGGGATTGGCTGACCTCATAGTACGTAGCGGGTACTGACTCTAGGAACGCGGACTCTGCACCTTCTCAGGAACTTTCAGGAAGATGGGGGTTGGGGTACTGCTTAAAGTTCAGGAGGAATGAGTCCAAGAAGCGTGGATGGCTCGAGGAACACACGGGAGAAGCTGTGCCCCTGGGAGGAGCTGGGAGTCCCCAGGTGGAGGCGGAGACACAGAGGAGAAAAGAACTCAGCCTTCTCTCTGACTTTTGTCAGGCAGCGATGACTCCTGGGTGAGTACTGGGCTCTACCTCCTGGAAGGACAAAATGCAGAAGTGTCGCTGTCCGAAGCTGCTGCCTCTGCCGGCCTGAAGGTAAGGCCCGAACGCCCACAGCCCCCACCTCTCAAAACCCTAGAGTTGGAATGGAAAAACGAACACCACATGTACTCTCTAAGAATTTGGAACTAATTGATGGGTGCACATGGGCACAGAGGAGTAAAAGTCATTGGAAATCACTAAGTGGGAAGGGAGACAGGGAGGGACAAAAGCCACCTAACAGGTACAATGAACACTGCTCAGGTGATGGGTGCACTAACAGCCCTGACATAGCATTAGAAAAGCTATCCATGTACCAGAAACATTTGTACCCCCTTAACATTTTAAAATAATCATTTTTTAAAAACCCTAGAGCTGCGTCATCCTCACCCACTGTCTGGTTCCAGATTTAGCAGTGCTGCCGGGAGTACAGAGGGATGAGTCTGCCCATTTTACAGATTTTACAGATGAAGCAGCTAAATTTCAGGGAGCCTGAGTGAGTGACTGAAGTTCCCAGCTACCAATACCAGGTCCAGTACCCCAGCCTAAGCCTTCTGATTTCCAGATGTGGTGACTTTTGCCTACCGGCAGGGATGTGCAAAAATAGCGAACGTGCAGAGAACATTACAAATGAGTCCCTTGCCCACTTCCCCAGTCGCACAAGCCTGTCTGAGTTTCACCTCTCTACCTGGACACCTAAAGGGTGTGCTTAATCCAATCACTCCCCAAACTATGCCCTGGGGTGCAGAATTTAAATTCGTCCTGCCTCCTCGACTCTCAAGGTCACTTCCTACTACAGTGAGGGTTTCTTTTTGTATCAGCATTCTTTTGGCGCTTGCTTACTTCAAACCTAAGAGAAGCAACCCAGGACTCCAGACAAAATGGATTTCTGTCCATCTGGCCAGGCAGGGGCGCTCTGGACAAGTGGGGAGAGAGAATCAACCCTCTCCCCATCAGGCCAGACCTCGCTGCCTCCTGTGTGCTCACAAGGCGCAGACAGGACCCCCTGGCCCGGGAACAGCCTTGGGATTATGCCTGGGCTCTCACCAACCCACGTCTGACAGCGATCCATTGTGGAGTCAATTAAATCCCTGGAAAAATGCTCTTACATACTTCTCAGTCCATGTGACTTTGGAGTGCTGCAATTTCATAGGTCTCCGTGCCTAGCCCGTAGAAAAGGGAAGCAGGCACCATGGATGTGTTTGTCTACTACCCTCCGTCCACACAACCCCACACGCACATCACAGGGACTCCAGTCCCTCTGACACATGGTGGAATCGCCTGTCCAGGTACAGATTGGCTGCCACACCGATGACCTGACTAAGGCCAGCACACTCTGTCGAGCCCCCGTGGTGACCCACCAGTGCTGTATGGACAGGACCAAACGGTCAGTCTCCTGCCTCTGGGGTGGCCTCCTCTACGTCATTGTGCCCAAGGGCAGTCACCTCGGCCCTGTGTCTGTCACCATCACGAGGGCTGTGCCTGCCCCCTACTACAAGCTGGGTAAGTGGACGTAAAGTTGAGGGAGGAGGGAGAGCTGTGGATGCCTTGGGCACTGTAGGCTGGTTGCTAAACAGGAGAAGGATGAGGGCTGGTGGAGAGAAGCAGGAAGAACTGTTAGAGGACAACATGGAGTCGGGAGATACAGAACATGTGTCCATAGAGACTTCAGGGCCGGCACAGAGAAAAGGCCTGGAAGCCTTTCCTTCACTTCACAGCCTGTAGAGCCCGCGACAGTCATTTGTTATTGCATTGCTCTCCTCCTGGAGTTCAAGTTGTACTTTTCAGCTCAAGGGAGGCTGGGGAAGCGGGCAGCAGGTCCCATGCTGTTTATTCCCAGGTGAGACATCCCTGGAGGACTGGAGAAGCTGTGTCCGGCAGAACCCAGCGCCCTGGGGAGAGCTGGCCACGGACAACATCATCCTGACGGTGCCGACCGCAAACCTCCAGACCCTGGAAGATCCCGAGCCTGTGCTGCGCCTCTGGGACGAGATGATGCAGGCCGTGGCCAGGCTGGCGGCCCAGCCCTTCCCTTTCCACAGGCCCGAGAGGATCGTAGCTGACGTGCAGATCTCAGCTGGTGGGTGCTCCTGTCAGTGGACAATAGTGACTTATTACATTGTCTTTTACAACTTCCAAGATGTGTAAGCGTAATTTTGTTAGTAAAGTAAAAGTAAAGTAAGGGGAAAAGAAATACAAAAGACACGGACCACAATGGGGATGAGAAAATGTTTACATGTGAGAAGGTAAATCTTTAACAGCTACAGGGTGAGATGTCACAGGATGGCAGAACAACCGCAGAAAATATTCTGAGAAATTCGTAGATGGCAACAAGGGTCGTCTCAAGGAGAGCATGCAAAATGAACTGTGTCCGTCAGACACATGTCCAAATTGAAAATGAGAAGGAGAGATGAGTAAAGAGGTTTATGTTCCATACTGTTGGCTTCCAGGAAAAGAGGAGCCTGGGAAGAAAGATGAGAAACTCTGGTACCTCAGGGGGAAAGTCCCTTTGGACCTCAACTTTCTTATCTTTAAAAAAAGACAAAATTGTCTCTGTCATACAGTACAGATATGGACAAAAAATGATTTACATTGGGAAAGAAAGAACGTTGCTGTCCTAGCCTCAATAATCTCAAATTTAGACATGGAACAAAGGAAGCTTGCAAAAAAATGAATTGTTGACTTCCAGCAAGGATGACCATGTCCAGTGTGTCCAGATCCTCCAGGCAGGCACAGCTCGGGGGTGAGATGGGAAGGGGACTGGGTACTATTCAGTGTCTGACCAAGCGGGGGACAGCCATCTACTTTCCAATCAGCGCAGAGAAGCGGGAATTATTGGGGAGAACCAGGATGGTGGGGAAAAGTTCCACAGTGGAGAGGAATGGAGGAGACAGTTTGGGTGGACCCCCTTTCATGCCAGCCTCTGCCTTCTGTGTTCCCAGGCTGGATGCACTCGGGGTACCCCATCATGTGCCACCTGCAGTCGGTGCAGGAGCTCATCAGTGAGGCTGGCATGAGGAGCAGAGGGCTGTGGGGCCCCATCCACGAGCTGGGCCACAACCAGCAGCGACGGGGCTGGGAGTTCCCCCCACACACCACCGAGGCCACCTGCAACCTGTGGTCGGTCTATGTGCATGAGACGGTGCTGGGCATCCCCAGGGCCCAGGCCCACCCTGCGCTGAGCCCTCCAGAAAGAGAGAAGAGAATCAAAGCCCATCTCAGAAAAGGAGCCCCCCTGTGTGACTGGAAGGTGTGGACAGCTCTGGAAACGTATCTACAGGTACTGAGCAGAAATTCCGGGAGACGGGCTGCCAGACCCCTCAGCAGGGTAGCATCCTGTATGCCTGAGCTCTCCAGCAATTTCTCCATCCCAGCCTGGGCCACCATCTCTCTTGGACACAGGAGAGACTGGGCTGCATGGCAGTGCTTCTCAGGTCATACCCCTCTAAGGCGGAGAGAATGACACTTGTCCCACTTGCTGCCTGTGATTTTGCAATGTGAGAGGAAATGAAAAGTATTAAGAAAAAGATAAATATAAGTATAGTATATTGGTCAAGGGCAGAAACTCTGCTAGACATTCCCAAGACTGAATCACAGCTCTTCCACTCACTGGTTTCTTTTTTGGTCCCTTAATAAGTGTTCCATAAATGGTTATTGTTTTGTTTTGTTTTTCTTCACCTTAGTTTTATGAGTCAAGTGAGTGTTACATCCCTTTGTAGTAACAGGAACGTGTCTGCAGGGCAGCTGCATCACAAGAGGGCACTGTAGGAGATAAATCTACTAGCGAGGTTCTCAGACAGCCATCACCCCACTTGAACCCGGAATGTTTTAAAATGAATAAATAACCAACCAACCCAATGGGAGAACACCAAAGTCATGAAGCAAGTCTACTTCCTGTGAAATAAGCATGAGTCCCTGTCCCCCTCCCCCAGTCCAGCTTTGAATTTTAATGATTTTGAGATGTCAAAGCTGTGCCCCATATCCAACCTCCTGTGATGTCTCCCACAACCCCATAGGGAGGAGCTGTATGGCCCACGTTTCACAGCGGCACATCCTAAGTTAAAGAATTTAAGCAACCTGTCCGACAGCACCCAGTCTTTTGCACTTCTGCACCCTCTTTTTGACTTTTTTCCCTTCACTAATTTTTCTGAAGAGTGAATGCGAGACGGCCCCAGTTAATGAGACAAATGTGCGTTGCATCAGTTTCCGTATTCTCACGTAACCAGTCTGAGGGCGTACAGGACAACAGAACTAAGTGCTAGGTGGCCACTAAGGTGTAAGTTAAAACCAGAATTGTGCCCTGCCCCACTACCTGCAGCAAAAGCTCTGGAGAGACCCATCTCATGGAGTCTCAGACTCGGTCTCAGGACAGGCAAGCACCTTCCGATTCCTCTGCTTGCTAGAGGTCTTCTCCCCGCGTTCCCACCTCTCGGCTCCTCGCTTTCCTTCCCTTTCTCTGTTCCAGCAGCCTCCTAAATTGTTCCAGCATCTTGCCTCAATCCCCTGTAATCCATCTTCCACACTGCTTCCAAAATAATGTTAATACTCCATCTTTAAAGCGCTTACAGTGTTCTCTTTTATGAATAAGATAATCAAAGCTGCTTCGCAGGGTGTAGATCAGACTTCTGCCAACAGCTCCAGCCTCACCTCCTCATTTCCTCGCCTCCGTGTTCATCCTCAGCGTGCCAAGCTGCTACAGCTGTGAACACACCTGGCTGTGTCAGGCTTCTGTGCCTCCCCATGTTTCCTTTCTGCTGTGAAACACGCTTGGACATCTTGTCTCTTACCCAAGTCACCTGTCAAAATTCAGCTCTATTGCCCCCTTGCCCCGGATATCATCTCCTTGATAAGCCAACTTTTTTAGTAATTTATTTGTGTCTGTCTCTCCCACTGGCCCTGTGCCCTCTGGAAAGATAGGCACTCTTAATCACTTTGCCTACCACAATATCTGGTGTGCTATGGATGTCTAATGAATGTTAGATAAATAGTAGATAAATGTTTAATTTATGGATATATTAATTAATAAGTGAGGGGCAGGAGGACTGTCAGAGGCCAAGGCAGTGAGAGCGATGAGCAATGGTGAGGGACAATAGTGAGACTCCCGGAGAGGCCTGACATCCAGTGTCATCTGTCCTTGTCGACACCGCAGAGTCAGAGGACTTTCATCCGTAAAAGGAGCAGTGGAGCTGGGATTTCCCTGCTAATTCCAAATTTCTGTGCTCTCAGCAAACAAGGACCTCCTGCCGAGGGTTTTCGGGTGGGCTGCCCTTCTGTAAAGTATAAGTCACTGCCATCTTGAGCCCCTTTCAACATGCCTTATTCTTTCTTTCTTTGCCCCAAAGACAGTGTTCCACAAAGCAATAGAACCTTGCAGGTTCACAGGTCTGAGAAGGCTACAGAAAAATAAGCATCACAATGATGTCTGGAAAGCAGTATTGGGGGGTCCCAGCTTTTAGGGTCTCCATAGTCCAAATATGTAGGACTTGAGGGTTTCTCATCTCAGTCAAGCCCAAACATGTCCTAATGCTGAGGAAAACGGTTAAGATCTGGTATATATATTTTTTAAAAAACAAGTAAAGGTAATAGTAATAGTCATGTATTGAATACTTACCTCTTTGCAGACATTAGGCTTCCTGTAAGCCCCCTGCTAGATTTCAGGGATCATAGTTTTGTGGCCAGGAGGTGGGTTGAGCGTTAATGTGCAGGGGTGGGGTAGGGAGATAGGGGCACACCAGGAGTGAAGCTAATGACTGCGGGGCAGCGATCCCGTGAACGAGGTATACTCATGAACACGCACGTGGTGTTTCTCGGCCAGACTCGCCCTCATCCTGCCCCTTCTTTCTCTTTGCAGCTCCAGGAGGCCTTCGGGTGGGAGCCGTTCACCCAGCTCTTTGCTGAGTACCAGACGCTCTCTGGCATCCCCAAAGACAAGGCTGGCAAGATGAATCTGTGGGTGAAGAAGTTCTCTGAAAAAGTGCAGAAGAACCTGGCTCCCTTCTTTGAGGCCTGGGGCTGGCCTGTCAAGAAGGAAGTGGCTGAAAGCCTGGGCTGCCTGCCTCCGTGGCAGGAACACCCCCTGAGAGCGCACCTCTGCACCGAGGGGTGAAGAACACTCAGCAAGGGGGCGCGCGGGGGCAGGATCACGCCCCCAGCTCCATCACCTGGTCTTGTGCGCCCGCTGCCTGGAGCCTGAGTCTCACTTCCCAGTCTGTTTGCAGGATGGCAGTCAAGGTCATGAGACAAAATGGAACCGACTTTCTCAGGAATATGCCCTTGTGCTTCTTATTGTTTCTCGGCTTACACTGTTGCTCTCACTGCGGCACTCACTTCGCCACCTTAGTCCTCATCTTGCCATCCTGAGGCTGCTGTGTTTGACCAAGAGTTCTAAAGACTATGGCTCCCATAATAACCCGATATCACTCCCTCTCCCTTGCCGCTCCCAAACAAGGCTTCTGATTTCTTTCGCTTTGACAAGTTTTCTAATAGCAAGAGAGACGGGCTGGGGTAGTGGAGTGGTGGAGAGGGCCCCAAACCAGCTTTGTTCTATAGGAAATCACTTAGCCTCCCTGTGTCTGTCTTCTCACCCACGACACGGGGACACAAATCCCTTCCTGGCAGGGCCGTTGTTTGGTAATGGTGATGTCTGTGCACCACAACTGTGTACACATGTAGGGGTGTTTGTGAGCTTTCTCCTGCGCCCACAGTGGCCATCATAGTGTGCAGTCTAGTGGGGACTTCCTGAGCACTGAATCTCACTTCGGTGTCAACCCCCTTGCGGTCAGCATCCAGTCCTTGCATAATACTATTTAGAGCATGTCAGTGTTGTTCCCAGACATGGTATCAGTGAGGAGAGTTGTCATCAGCGCCCCAGCCCAACCTGCATTTTTTTCTCCCACCTCCGGAAGTATTCTCAGGTATAACCTAACCCAAAGAAAAATGGCGTGCACTCAAACTGAGTGTTACAAGCGATTGGAGTTCACTCTTCTTGTTTAGTTCCAACCTCTGGAACTTTTGTTTCAACCAAGGAGAAAAGTCACTTTAGCAACTGCTACCAAGTCTATAAGCCTATTTTTCTTAGCACAAAACAGGCGTCTGCCTCCTCTAGTCCCTGTGGAGCAGGCACTGTCAGTTGTGAGAGGGACACGAACTCAGTGGGCTTCTCTCTGGAACAGGGTTCCTGGGTGCAGCAGACCAAATCCTCCCTAATTAACCCACAACCCAGCATCCCCTGAGCTTTTTCATAATTTCATTATGACACTCTGGGTTAGGTGAAGTCCTAACTGGAGGTTCGTGGCCAGGATCAGTGGGGTGTATGCCTAGCCACTTTTCTCTAGCTTGCTTTTACACCATATTTTTGTTTGTTTGGGATATCATTCCATAAGCTTTGTTTGGGTTGCAGCAGCCCCTCATGAGAAAAACTAACCTAGGGGATGTCTTTTTCTGAATCCCGCCAACACATCTCTCTCAATTCTAGGATAATTTCTTTTCATTTCACTAGTTTCCTTTGGTGCTTTGCACATGAAAGGTGCTCAAGAAAGATTTTTAAGTGAAAGAACAGTAATGACACCTAACACGTAATGAGAAGACAATGTGTTCCAGGCATTGTGTGAGGTATTTTCTGTGAGTCATGTCCTGTAATCTTCCTAGCAGACCTCAGAGTGCCTCAGAGTGAATTAGCAAAAGCCTCTTGCAGCACTGACTTTAATCACTTCAAATCACTTTTGATTTAACAAACTAGTGGTGGCTTTAGGAAAGGGCAGGACTTCTCTATGTTAATGTGGAATGGTGTGTAGTGTATAGTGGTGTATAGTGTTTTAAAGGTTTCCTTCTCATTCTTCAGATCTTAACCTAAAGATCATTTCCTCAGGCCGTGTCCCCACTCCCCTGCTTCCATAAAGCCTGTAATTTCCCTTCTATATAGTGATCACATTTGTAATTACTTGTTTAGTGGCTCTCTTTCCCACTACATGGAAACTCCACAGGGGCAGAGACCATTCCGTCTTATTCACAGCTGTATCCATAGCCCCTGAGTTATGACAGGGTCCCCAGCCTCAAGATGATTAAGGCCAATAAGAACTCTGCCAAAAAATGCAAAAAGTATATTGCAAAACACAATAAAAGGCAATTCATCAAGGAGTTTCATCCATACCTGGGTGAATAATCACCTCACCAAATGAAAGCCATGATCAGGGAATTCTGTCCCTACTCTTAAAACTGGAGTCTCTCACCTCACGGGGCTTTACTTCTTTTGAGAACGTCTCTGTTCTCAAACTTCCTCTCAAGGCATGATTTACAGAAGGTGCTTCTCTGGCCTTGCTTTACAGCTAGAAGATGAGAACTCTCATCTAACTTGGCAGCACCAAATGCAACATCTATGTCCTGCCCAGAGATCTTGAAAGGCTGCAGAATCAAATACATAGGTACACAGAGAACTGCACCACCTCCAGTGATCTGCCACTGGGCACATGGACAACTGGAATATCATATCCAAACTAGTGTAGAGAAAACCAACTTCAAAACAACTTGTCAACTACAGGCATACCTCGTTTTACCATACTTCAACTTTATTGTGCTTTGCAGATATTGCATTTTTTACAAATTCAAGATTTGTGGCAATCTGGAGTTGAGAAAATCTATTGATGCAATTTTTCCAACAGCATGTGCTCACTTTGTGTCTCTGTGTCACATGTTGGTAATTCTCTCAATATTTCAAACTTTTTCATTGTTATTATATTTATTGTAATGATTTGTGATCAGTGATCTTTGATGTTACTATTGTAATTCTTTGGGGGTGCCGTGAACCATGTCCACATGAGACAGCAAACTTAATAAATGTTGTTTGTGTTCTGACTATTCCACCATTGGCAGTTTCCCCATCTCTCTCCCAGTCTTTGGGCTTCCCCATTCCCTGAGACCACAGTACTGAAATTAGGCCAATCGATAACCCTACAGTGGCTGCTAAGTGTTCAAGGGAAAGGAAGAGTCATATGTCTCTCACTTTAAGTCAAAAGCTAGAAATGATTAAGCTTAGTGAGGAAGGCATGTCAAATGCTGAGATAGGCCAAAAGCTAGGCCTCTTGCACCACCAACAGTTAGCCAGGTTGTGAATGCAAAAGGAAAGTTCTTGAAGGAAATTAAAATGCTACTCCAGTGAACATGTAAATGATAAGAAAGCAAAACAGACTTATTGCTGATATGGAGAAAGTTTTAGTGGTTTGGATAGAATATCAAAAAAGCCACATTTCCTTAAGCCAAAGTCTAATCCAAGCAGGCCCTAACTCTCTTGAATTCTGTGAGGGCTGAGAGAGGTGAGAAACCTGCAGAAGAAAAGTTGGAAGCTAGCAGAGGTTGGTGCATGAGGTTTAAGTAAAGAAGCCATCTCCATAACATAAAAATGCAAGGTGAGGCAGCAAGTGCCAATGAAGAAGCTGCAGCAAGTTATCCAGAAGAGCTAGCTAAGATCATTTGTGAAAGTGGCTGCACTAAACAATGATTTCAATGTAGATAAAACAGCCTTCTGTTGGAAGAATATGTCATCTAGGACATTCCTAGCTAGAGAGAAGTTAATGTCTGGCTTCAAAGCATCGAAGGACAGGCTGACCCTCTTGTGAGGGCCTAATGCATTTGGTGACTTTAAGTTGAAGCCAATGCTCATTCACTGTTCTGAAAATCCTAGGGCCCTTAGAAATTATGCTAAATCTACTCTGCTTCTGCTCTATAAATGGAACAACAAAGCCTGAGAACACATCTGTTTACAGCATGGTTTACTGAATATTTTAAGCCCACTGTTGAGACCTACTATTCAAAAAGAAAGATCTCTTTTTAGATATTGACAATGAACCTCACTGACAATGAACCTCATCACCCAAGAGCTCCAATAGAATTGTAGAGGAGACTAATGTTGTTTTCATGCCTGCTAACACAATATCCATTCAGCAGCCCATGGATCAAAAAGTAATTTCGACTTTCAAATCTTATTATTTAAGAAATACATGTCATAAAGCTACAGCTGCCAAAGATAGTGATTTCTCTGATGGATCTGGGCAAAGTAAATTGAAAACCTCCTGGAAAGAGTTCACCATTTTAGATGCCATTAAGAACATTTGTGATTCACAGAGGAGGCCAAAATATCAACATTAACAGGTGTTTAAAAGAAGTTGATTCCAACCCTTATGGATGACTTTGAAGGGAACAAGACTTTAGTGGAGAAAGTAACTGCAGATGTGGTGGAAATAGGAAGAAAATTAGAATTAGAAGTGGAGCCTGAAGATGTGACTGAATTCCTGCAATCTCATGATAAAACTTGAATGGATAAGGAGTTGCTTCTTATTGATGAGCAAAGAAAGAGATTTCTTGACAGGGAATCTACTCTTGGTTAAGATGCTGTGAACATTGTTAAAATGACAAAAGAGGATTCGGAATATTACATAAATATAGTTGATAAAGCAATGGAGAATTTTGAGACAACTGATACCAATTTTAAAGAAGTTCTTCCATGGCTAAAATGCCATCCAGCAGCATCATATGCTACAGAGAAGTGCTTTTGTGAAAAAAGGAGTCAATTGATGCAGCAAACTTCATTTTTGTCTTATTTTAGGAAATTTTCACAGCCACCCCAACCTTCAGCAACCACCACCCTGATTAGTCAGCAGGGATGAACATCAAGGCAAGAGTCTGCACTAGCAAAAAGATTACTACTCATCGAAGGCTCAGAAGATCACTAGCATCATATATCGTAATAGAACAGTTCCAGTAGGACAATCTTATCATAGAATCTCAGCTTTGCCAAATATAAATTGTTTCTCCTGAGCTATTGTTCTTCCCAGAAGATGGTGATCATCACCTTACTCTAACAACATATAATAAGGACATATTGTAGGGGAGTGAACTCATACTAAGGTTCTCATAATGGCATCTTCCTACTCAAACCCCAAATGTGGATGAGTTCTGGTTCCATTATAAAATAAGTAATATGTGCATAATGTTTTGCAATTTTTCTAAGACCTTCCCTTCCATTTGCTTGTGAGCTGTGTGAGATACATTAAGGAAGTATTATCACGATCCTCCATTTCACAGATTAAGCAACTTGAGGTTCAAGGGCACAAGCAGTTGACCTTACAATTAATTAGAAAGAGACAGACGGAGGACTTAAGTTCAGTGTTTTGACTCCTAGGGCTCGGGTTCAGCATCGGACCCCCATGCTTTTGGCACTACAGCATACTGTCTCTAGATTTTTGCTCTTTCTTCATAATTCCAAAGAGTCTTCGCATTTGGCAAGAGACAGGGGTTGAGTTTCATTCGTCTGCATATAGATATTCAATTTTCCCAGCACCATTTATTGAAAAGGATGTCCTTTCCCCAGTGTATGTTCTTGGCATCTTGTTGAAATTAGTTCACTATAGATGTGTGGATTTATTTCTGGGTTCTATTTTCTGTTCCATTGGTCTATATGTCTGTTTTTATGCCAGTACCATTCTGTTTTGGTTACTACAATTCTGCAGTATGATTTGAAGTCAGGTAATGTGATTCCTCCAGTTTTGTGGCCTTACATATAGTCTACCATTGAGAATGATCCCTGTGCTGTGGAGAAGAATGTGTATTCTACAGCTATTAGATGAAACATTCTGTAAATATCTATTAGTTCCATTTAGTCTCTAGTGCAGATTAAGCCTGAGTTTCTTCATTGATTTTCCATCTGGGTGATCTATCCAGTGCTGAAAGTGGGGTGCTGAGGTCTCCAACTATTATTATATTGGGGTCTGTCTCTCTCTTTAGCTCTGATAATATTTGCTTTATACAATGGAGGTCTCCAGTGTTGACAGCGTATGTTAATATATTTAGAATTATATCCTCCTGATGAATTTACCCTACTGCCATTTTTTCCTACCTCATAACAGGCTATGTAAATTTTGGTCATGCTGGTAGTCAGACTGGATGAGAAGAAACTTTCCAATGGTCTTCTTTCCCCTCCTTTTATAATACCAGAGTTAGTACTTATGAGAATTGTTTTAGCAATATTTTTGTGGGGGATGATGATGAAAATTTTTAGGGAAAATAATCAGCTTTTAACTGAATTTATTAGGCTTTGACATTTTATGGTCTTTGTCTTCACTTCTTCCCGTGCCTCTCCTCACTTGAACTTTGGCCAATATTAATTTTGGAGAGACTCTTTCTGAAGTATCATCTTCCCCTGTCTTGCTATGTGTCACCATGTTCTGGATCAAGGGCATTCCTGTAAGTAGGAAGGTTCCCAAATGTCTTTATATATGATGTGAGTCCTTTTCTGTCTCTCCACAAGATGGCACACTAAGCACAGGCTCCAGCCTCTTCAATCTCTGATCCAAAATTACTAGAAAGGCAGATCTTTTCTGAAACTCTTAACACAGCATTGAAAAACCAGAAGGGAGGTTCCTCCTAAAAGATCCAGGTCGACGGTATCACACAATGAAAAGAAACCAAGAACTTGCCCAGGACAAACTGCTACAAAGAACAAGAATGGCCATGAAAGGTCTTCCAAGTCCAGGGGAAGTAGATTAGGGGAACAGATGAGTCTCAGGAATGCAAGGACGATGCAGTTCTAGTTACAGCTATAAGTTCACCGAATTCACAGATCACAAGAAAAAAAACTTCATGATCATGCCAAAAAATAAATTGAAAATATACAAGTCCCATTCATAATTAAACATTAGCAATACAGTAAAGTAGAAAGACTTCTCATAAGAAATAGTATATCTACAAGAAACCATCAGCAAGCATTATACTCGGTAGTAAAAAGTCGGTTGCACCCACACTAAATTCAAGAACAAGAGAGGAATGTTCACTCACAATGCTACTTTCAGCATATCCATAGAAGTCCCTATCGGTGCATTAAGACAAGAAAAATAAACTGGAAAGGAAGAGACAAAACAGTCATTATTTGCAGACAATATGATCCTCTATATTTTGGGGGTGTGCCTAATAGACTTAGTTGATGAACTGGATGTGACAGGGACAGGTAAAGAGAGATCAAGCATGATGCCTAGGCTTTTGGCTTGAACCACTGGGGCTTTTCAGACCTTTAACCGAGATAATGGAAAATGAGATTATGGGGTTAAGAGGAAATATCAGATAGTTTGATATATGGCCTAGACTTTAGAGTTTTGGAGCACAGAATTAAGAGAAGATATTAGATAGGCAGTTTAATAGGTGAGTCTAGACTTCAGAGCAGAGGTCAGGCCTGAAAATATAAATTTAGAAGTCATCAGAATATAGGTGGTATCCAAAGCTTTAGGACAAATTGAATTGCTTAAGAGGAGAATATTGGGAATGCTGCAGGCCAACATTTTGAGGCAAGCAAATGAGATTGGGAAGGATTAGCCCAGGAGATAAGAGGAAAGCCCAGATTTATTACCGTATCACAGAACTGTGGGAAAGAAACATTGGGGGGGAGATGTCAAGAGTCATATGTTGTTGAATGCTGATAAGAAAATCACATAAATTGAGGTGGAAAAGTCACTGGATTCTATCCATATGGAGGCTATTGCTAAGCTTAAGAGGTAGGTGGTGGGTGAGTTAGAAACCCGACTGGGGTGGGTTGAGGGGAATGGGAGGTAAAGAATTCGAGACAACCCAGATTCAAAATGCTTGTGATACAT